TATTCCCGACCCCTGAAGGGTTGACCTGTTGGATTTCTGCCTGCCACCCAGCAGCTCATGCAGCGATGAGCCACCCTGGCCCCCTGATTTAGCATGTCCTGCTGGCTCAGGACGGTGGTGCCTCCCTCAGCCCGCTTTTGTCTTCCCCACCGGCCGGGAGGCCACCCAGACCGGCTAAAAGCAGATTCCTCTTTTCTGCCCTGCCGAGCTGCAATCCAGTGGGATGCCCAACCCATAGAAGTGAATGGGAAGCCCACGTGCCCACGTGGGCCCTCGTGCCCCAAGGCTGGGCTCCGGGGGAGCCAGAGGGTGGGGGCTTCGGCCGAACTCACTGCTGGGGGCTCTTGGGGGTCGAGGAGGAGCGTATTCCACAGGCCGCTCTCCCCGTCCCCGTGTTCGCTTTTCTGGCTGCACAACGGCTTGCATGGTCAGGAGGTGAGGTCACGCAGGGTGGCAGGGCCTGGGCAGGCAGCGGGGTGACGTCACCCTGAATGGGCCGAGAATCCCCTGTCACAAGGGGTTAGCAACGCTGCCTGGCCCTTTTGTCCCCGCGACCGCTGGGTATTAGGGCCGGGGTGGGCCGGGACAGAAGTCATGGCAACCGGACCACGGGGTCGGATTCTGGCAACTCGCCGACCCCTTCCCCCCAGCCTGCACACCCCAACACGCGCACGCATGTGGGCTCCCGCCGCCCCGCCCCCCCAGCGCAGCAATGGCTTTTGCAGGCCCGAGTGAAATTTCGATCATTTTCCGCACCCTGCTCCATCCGCAATTGCTCCCGCTCCACTTTTCCGTCTTCTCCACAATCCGGATCGATTTTGTCCCAATGCATGTTTGCTTCAGAACCGCAGGAGCAATTACCCTGCGTTTTCTTCTACACCGCAAAGCGCGGAAATGTGGTGGCATTCCCTTGCGGACGGCTCGGAGATGGTTTTTAACTGTGGCAAACTGTACAGAAAGTAAAGAGAAATAATAAATAAAATAAAAATCATCCGGAAGTGGGTGCGTTTCTGCATGTGGCGTTGGAATTCCCCAATCCTGGAGCCCTCCATGCTGGCCGTGGATGGTGGGAGAGGTAACTGGGAGAGAGGGAGGCTGGGATACGTGCGGCTCCCGCATACCAGGGGAAGGAGCTGCAGCGAAGGGGATTCTGGGTAGAACAGCCACGGCTCAGCCACACTCGGCGGTCCCGCAGGACCAAGGCGACCCTCTTTCTTCAGGCGCCTGAAAACATTTAATAGCAAAGAGCAGCCAGCTGGTCACCTGTGACATGTGCCTGGATGCTCATGCCGCTATTTTAAAATAGCAACGAAATGGGGCTTATTCCACAGAAGGTCTTTTTAGCCTGTGAGCAGCCCAAACAAACCCGTTTGGCCCCCGTGCTTCTGGCGCTTATGTTTTCCGTGCGCTTCAGATGCGAAGCTGCACGGGCCCCGAGGTTTATTTGGACTTTTCCGGTCGGGGCTGGCACCCCCCCCCTTTGCTCTTTCTGTTCTGTATGAGTGTGTCTCTTTCTGCTGGATGGCTTCAGGGCAGGGGAAGCCATTGCGGCGCATGGAACGCGCATGGAGGCAGCGGGGGAAAGGAGAGACGGCGTGTGTTTTGAGCCTGAAGGAACACAGGTCGGGAAAGGGGTGTGTGGGCAAGGTCCAGAGTCTAAAGGTGACTGGCTGCGGGACTGAAACCAGCCAGCGACACTTTCTGCAGCCAGCCAGCATGAGGAAGTGGAGAAACTTCCTCGATCGAGGGAGGAGAGATCAGGGACACCCTTAAATAACTCATCCCGGAGGAGGAGGAGGAGGCGGCCTGTGGGGAGAGCGCAGGCCTGTCCTCCCTGCGATGAAAAGGAGCCCAGGGTCCGGATTGGCCGGCAGCTAATATATTCTGATGAGCTCAGCCTCCCCGGAGCTTTAAATGGGACCCTGGCACCCCGGCTCTGGTCTCTGGGCTGGGGCAGCTGCCACTCTCCCCCGGCGGCAGTGCGCAGGGGCCCTGGCACGGCAGGAAGGGGAACGGCTGGATCCTGGGAGCTAGGAAAGGACCCCGATGGATGCCCAAACCAACAGGTGGGTACCGCCACAGGCTTCACCACCACCACTCCTTAAGGAGCCTCCAGGGAAGCACTTGGTTTGTCGCTTTGCTCACAGCAAAGCCAAGAAGCCTGTCAAGGTATGTGGGGAGAGAGGGCAGCTTGTGGGGCTTTTCCTTCCGACATCCAGCCTCATGTCTCCCCTCTCCTTCATTCACTCTCCCCCTCAGTCACTTTTCTTGTGGGTTGTGCCAGGTTGGATTGCAAGCTCCTTGCAGGCAGGGATCTTGCTGAAATCCCTGCGTTGTGCGTAGCGAAATACTGTGCCAGAACCCTAAGCAAGTCTGCCTCTAACTGGGACCCTTAATTATGTAGGTGTGACTTATTTAGCAAGTTCGTTGGGATCGCAATGGTTAAATATTTCGATGGAAGGGTGGATACGAATCTGGGGGAACGCGGGAGCTGGTAGACGGACAGTGCAGCGTGCGAATTGTGAGCGTGCCCAGACAGTGTGCAGGGCACGGGAAGCGTGATGCAATGAACACCGAAAAGACCCACACCCTGGGGGGCGGGGGACCCACAGAATCATCCCACAATAATCCAAGCGCTCGGGGACACGCTGCCCTTTCAGTCTTGAAGCGCATCATTGCACGAGGCCCTTTCACAGGCGCGAGGCGCACGGTTCTGGCCAGCGCATAGGAGGCGCAGGGTGGCGAGTGGGGGGGAAGGCGCCGGGCGCCTCGGGACCAGCGTCCCCGGCAGCCAGCCGGAGAGGAGATGCCCCGTGCGCAGGCAGGGTGGGGCGGCAATCGCTTGGCCGCAGAGCGGAGGAACGCTGCAAACAGGAAGCAGCCGCGCTGCCCGGCTCAGGCGCCGTGTGTGTGATGGGCTGAATTCCACACTCACTGTGAGGCAGGGATTCCCAGCCTGACGGGATGGGGATGCTGGGGCGGGGGGTGCCTCCGGAGGGCACCAGAGCCGGGCCGTGGCAGATTCACCCCCATTCCCATCGCAATGGGACGTCGGGAATTGCCAGGCGAATTGGGTTGGGTGACTGGAGATAGGTTTGGGGGCTGGGGCTGGACGGGTTGGCCTGTGTGTGGGGCTGGTTTGCGCGAGTCGGGCAGAGCGAGGGGCAGGATCCTTGAATGCGGGGCTCTGGGGCAGTTGCAGGGAGTGGGGCTGAGGCACTGGCTGGGAGGGGGCCCGGGGACCCACCCCGGCCTCCCCAGCCAACTGGGCCGGCGGGTGGCTTGGGCCAGGAGCTAATCCACTAATCTGGATGGCGCAGCGCTCCCTAATCTCCCGCTCCTCTCTCCTCCCCGCCCACCCGCGCGCAGGATGAGTGCCCTGCCTCCCAGCCCACTGGCGCTGGACTACCTGGACGACTTCGACCTGATGCGGCTGGAGGTGAAGCAGGAGGGGGCCCGGCTCGGGAGCAGCTCGTCCCTCAGCTCCACCCCCTGCAGCTCCGTGCCGCCCTCGCCCACCTTCGACAAGGCCGCGGACCCCAAGTCCAGCCTGGAGGAGCTCTACTGGATGGCCACCCTGCACCAGACGCTGGCCGCGGCCGCTGCGGCGGGAACCGGCCCCGAGGGCCCCCTGGGGCCGGGGCTGGACGAGGCCGTGGAGGCGCTCCTCGGGGTGCCCGTGGCTGAGGGGGGACTCCGCGGCGGGGCGCCCCCCCAGCTGCAGGGCTACTTGGGAACTGCGGAGGGGCTCGGCGGCGAGCAGCAGCAGGTGAGGAGGGGGCTGCAACGGTGGGAGCAGAAGGGGGGGCTGAGAATTCCTGGGGGGGACCCACAGATGAGTAGGGCCAACCCCTCTGTCGCGGGCCAGAGTCCCACCTTGATCCCAGTGCGCGATTCTGGGACAGATGACTTAATAGTCTCTGAGCATGTGCAAAGAGCCGTGCCATGGAGCACACCAGCCCTCGCCCACCTGGCGTTTGGGCAGCAGGTCAGCCTTCCCGCAGAAGTGCCGGGCCGCGGCATTCAGCATGCCCCCGCCAGCAGCTGCCGAGCTTGGAAATACATTCTGCATCCCGGCCAAGGCGGTGAAAGCGTTCTGTGTGTTCCGGCCCACGCCGTGCCTCTGGCCGGGCCTCCCCAGCCCCCAAACCCCGCCGAACCCTGGGGCAGCCCCCTTGCTTCCCCGGCTCACCTGCGCCCGCCCCCTCCCCTCCCCTCCAACCCTCCGTCTCCTTTCCGCAGCTGCCGCTGCTGTCCGACCGCTTCTCCGACGCCCAGCTGGTCTCCATGTCGGTGCGCGACCTCAACCGGCAGCTGCGCGGCTTCGGCAAGGAGGAGGTGCAGCGGCTCAAGCAGAAGCGGCGCACGCTGAAGAACCGCGGCTACGCCCAGTCCTGCCGCTACAAGCGCGTCCAGCAGCGCCACATCCTGGAGGCCGAGAAGTGCCAGCTGGCCCAGCAGCTGGAGGCCCTGCAGGCCGAGATGGCCCGGGTGGCCCACGAGAGGGACGTCTACAAGGCCCGGTGCCAGAAGCTGCTGGGCGATGCGGCCGGGGGGCACTGTGGGGAGGGGGCGGAGCCTCCGGCCCCCCAGCCTCCCTCGCTGGCCCAGTTTTTCCTATGAGCGGCCCCGCGGCGCTGCCTTCCCGGCGCGACGGCCTGCGGGAGACGGACTCGGCCAACACACCTTTCCCCCACCTGGCCCGTCGGGGGCGCTGTGGGCACAGGAGCGGCTGCCCCCGGTCCCTCCCGCAGGGGGCCACGCGAACTGAGGCGCCGTGTCTGCACTCCCCTGCCCCTCCACCGGGCGGCGCACAAGCGCATCGCCCGCCTGGCCGCTGACCATGGGCCTTTCCACCCGCGAGCACCATCTCAGGGTTTGGCGCTGTCATGTCTCCCCCTTCAAGGCATCCTGGGAACCGCAGTCTGGGGGGGGGGCTGAGGAGTCTCTGAGAGCAGGGGTGCCCAGCCTGTGCCCCATGGCCCTCAAGCAGAGTTGCGTAGCCCCCATGATGCCCTGCCCCCATCAAGAAATTTGCCCCCGCTCGGAGCAACCCCGAGATGGCCGATCGGCGGTCCCTGCCTCTTTCTGAGGTGCTCCTTTGACTCCCACGTCCTCTGCAGGGGCAGAGGCCTTTCAGCCTCTGGGCTGCTCCCACAATCTGGCCTTTGGGGCTGGAAAAATTGTGTGGCCCTCCGGGAGAGGTCCGTAGCCCACTTCCAAAGACTGCAATTCCCAGGGCTCAGTCCCAGGCAAGTCTGCACACGCCCCAGCGTCTCAGCCGTGTTGCCAAGTCCTCCACCGCCGGGCCGGCCTTAGCAGCACCTTCGAAACTGGTTAGCCACACGCTCCCAGTTCTGTGCAGGAAAACCAGCTTAGCGGCATGGAAATGCAGACGTGTCTCGGGAACGGGTTATGCTGCCTGGATCAGGTTTCCCTGCACAAGAGTGATAGTCCCGTGAAGACGAAAGCATGGCGGAGGACCCTTTCGGCAACAGGTCTTGCCAAAAAGGAAAAGACCTCTTCTTTTTCGGCTGGTCACCTGCAGCCTTCATCTTTTGGCTCCGGTGGTCCCCTTTTCCGGCCTGGGGAAACATACAGGGAAGGGAGCCAGCTGGTGCTGCAGCATCCATAGGTAGAACTTTCTGGAAAGATCCCCGGGGAGGAAGCACATGATGCTGTTGCTAGGCAACCACCACCTCCTCCCCACCCTGTACCTTCCCTGCCCCGGCAAAGCCACAGAATTCCTGCAGGGAATCTGGACCATTTTGTGCGGAAAGGGAAAACTGGGAAAAGCAAAGAGGGGTGAAAGGGTCTGCTAAGGGGGACCTCAGCGATGTCTTTGTTCCAAAACAGAGCCACCCTCTCATCAATAAAATAATAATAAAATAATATTTTCAAAGCTGCCCATCTCCCTCTCCCCTCACATTAATTTCTCCTGCTTCACCAAATTCCCGGGATCAAATGTGCATAAATATACGTGTAGCCCTTGGGAGCCAGAGATCCACCTGCCTCTTCTCCACTCTCTTTCTTATTGCAAGAGAGTCCAAAGATCAAAGGGCAGTGGAGTGAAAGAAGGAGATGGCGCCACCGTAAAACAAAACTCTGGGAAATCTCAAAAGTCCGCTTTCCCCACCACCCACAAAGGGATCATTATATTAATTATATTTTTAAGCAATAACAAAAGGCAGGTCCTATTACAATATAGAAAAAAGTTTTTGTGTGACTTTTTGTGTGCTTGTGAGCATGTTCAGAATGGAACATATTGTGTGTGTGTGTGTGTGTGTGTGTGTGCATGGGAAGGAGATCGATGCTGCAGCTTTGTGTGTGTGTGTACAATTGCACACCCACAATTGTGCAGAAGTGCATTGCTGCAGTTGGGAATTGTACATGTAACTGTACCACCGGCTTTGGAGTTTTGTGTGTGCACAATTAGACACGCGCAGAAGCACAGTGCAAAGAAGCAGTGGTGTGGGGTGGATTGTGCGGAGGGACTTGGATCTGCTGGGTTGTGTACGATTGCACAAAAGCACGGGTTGCCGTGATGGCCATGAGCAAAAATTCCAAAAACCACACTAGGGGAAAACTCAGCACACCAAAACAAGGTGCAACATTCCGACATCAAACAAGCTGTTTCTCCTGGGAGAAAACGCTTTTAATGGCATCTTGTCTGCTGAAGAGACCTGGAGATCTCGAAAGCTTGCCTATTTTGGGCGGCCGAGTAGAGTCATCACCCTAACGTGGTTTTTGTTGCCGGAGACGTGGTGGTGCCTATAAGGTGTGCATATGAACCTTGCGGGCAATGTAGGCGTGTGCGCAGTTGTGCAAGTTTAATCGTGAGCAGGACTGCATCTACTCATTCAAGTGTGATTCTTTATGTAAGATACCGTGTCTAAGAGATCACGGCAGATTCAGGCCACGTGGGTTGAGGACTGGCGGAGGGGGTTGTTACTGGGCGTGATTGAAACCTGGATTATTGTGTGGATGGAACCTAACACTTGGGTTGTTGTGTCACGCTAACCATGAACAACCCCCGAAGAGAACCCACAATTCTCTTGGGTCGACAGCCGCGCTCGGCCCCTGCATGTGGCTTGATAGGAACGTGATCGTCGTGTCTAGGAGGATGGTTTGTACGAAACCATCGGTTGTATTCGACCTGAATCTCTCGCCACACCCCGCCCGACGGCCTTTTCCCATTTTGCTTTTCGGTATTTTCTACGATTTGTTTTTGAAAACTCACTTTTATGCTCTCCATCTCGCCCAAGTGAAACCACAGAGAGTTCCCAGCTGGTTGGTACCACAGGAGAAAGCAAGGAGAGGCGATTTTCTGGTATGCATGGATTTTTAAAAATAATAAAAGGATCCTTAAAAAAAGGAAAAAAATTACCCAGAGTCTTGTCGATTTTGTGTGGTGAAATAGACAGCAAGGTTTTGGTTCTTGGTTCTCACACAGCAGGACTGGATGCCTTGCAAGTCGCCACCCTGTACTTCACTCCCTGGTTGTGCCAAGAAAATCACACAAACAGACTTTCCCCTTTTGTCCTGACAATCTAGTCTGGAGCCAGTCCAGTGGAAACTCGAAGTCAACTCAAGGGATCTAGGCACAAAGTCCATCCAGCTGAGGACTTCCCAGGTGGAAAGATCTCGGGCCAGGCCCACCTGCCTCAGTTTCCCCATGCTGTGCAATGAGCTGCTGCAGACCGGGTGTGAACGCAGCGGTGGCAAATCCACACGCTTTTAAAGCAGGGTGTTGCCAAACATGAACGGCAGGTGGCGCCAGAGCACACGCAAACCCCAAGCCTGCGCTTAAAACAAGAAGGACTAGAAGCTTCCAGGGGCTTGAGCGTCAGTTGTTTTTGGAAGCGCGGGTGCTTTTGGCCTCGGATACAGAATCCCACTCTCCTCACCCGCCCTCTGCAGGCTTAGCGGTGTTTGGGCGATGGTTACAGAGAAGCCATCTTGACATGCTCAGAGGCACTTGTTTTGAGTTCCCATCTGCCCTGGCTGAACTGTCATATTTGCCATCCTCCCACTTCAGCCCTGCTCTTCACACTTACAATCCAGAGGATGCCTCCCCACCTCTTCCTGGAGCAGCTGCGGTTTCTGGGGATGCAGCAACAAGAGACAAGCTTCGACCGCTTCAAGCGATGCTTTTCCTGCACTGAAAAAGCAGAGGGTCCCCAGTAGAGGGGGAAAGCGGGTGTCCCTGGAAAGAGGGGTGCAGGGTGAGTGGGTTCAGCACAGACGGTCTTGCTCCCTGGGGGATTTTGCTGGTCGTGGCACGAGGTGAGTCCAAAGTCCCAGCTTCTTTCAAGAGGAAGGGGGACTCTGGCTGCTCAGGCACCAACCTCCAGCATCCTCAGCTCCCCCCTCCGGGAAATGGTGAGGGGGCACCCATCTTCCACCAGCCCAGTTCCACCAGCCCTGCCAAAAGATGCCTTCATTTTTCATCTTCCCTCCCCACCCGCTTTCCTTGTGTGCTGTGACGTTTTGGATAGGAAGCTTGGGGTCAGCGACAATGGCCCTGTTCAACTGATTGATTGTGGACAGCTCCTGGAGCCTCTTTGGCAGAAGAGTGGGATCAAAAATACTTTAAATAAATGAAAACAGGGCATGACATATGGGATTTGGGATCAGCTCTCCCAGTGGCTTTTCCTTGGCTCAAAAGCAGGCCCAGGAGAGAGGGGCATAACCTGGATGCAGGCCACGCCGGCAGCGAGGGGATTTGGATGCGATTATCTCACTTGACCTGACACCCACTTGGCACACGGGTAAGAGGTGTGCACCGTGGACAAACTGCAGCCAGGGAAGGTGTCCCCCTGGGCCTGCAAGACTGGCTTGCAAAGCACGCTGTGAACTGCCGAGGCCCTCTGTACATGCCTCTGGGACCCTTAGCACAGCAGCATCGCACCTTGGCTGTGAAGGGGTTACTTCGTAAATGGGAACCAGAGTTCAGCAAGGCACACTGCCTGCCCCAACAGGCCGCCTATGCTTGGAGGCAGCGGTGATGGGGACCGGCCATCTGCATATGCTCAGAGGCACTAGGCCTGTCCTATCAGCAGCCTGAGGGCCTCCAAGGGGCTGAGCCACAGTTAACTCCTGGAGACAGATTTGTCAGAAGACACATATGAGTTCCTTGGACACTTTTGCCATGCTGAAATGCATTGTTTCTCTCCTTAAATTATCCTTATTATTTCTTTATTGTTTCTCTCTCTCTCACACACACACACTTAGCATGCCAAATGTTATGCACATTCACTGATGATTATTTCAGCCCGCCCAGGAAGCCATGTTCTCAAGCTGTGGCCCCGCTTTTCGGGGCGACGCAGCCCCCCACCCGATGCGGCACGAAGGGCCACCGTGACTCGCGGCGTCCTTCCTTCTCGTCTCTCTGGCTTTGTATCCCGGCTGTCTCCGTCTCCGCTGTCTGCGTGGCTGGCTTGCTTACACGTCCTGCAGAGCAAAGGCAATTAGCGGTGACTGCTAACGAGGGCCGCCATGATCGCGAGGGGTGCAGCACCGCTGCTCTCAGTCCGCTCCCAGCCTGTCGAGCCCCCGCCCCAAATCCTCGGCCCCCCAAAATCCAGCCTCAGGCCTTTGAGCGGGGCGCTGTGGCCGCACCGACGAAATGCCGGCTCGGCTTGCAGAATTGGCCGGCTGCCACCGCTGGCGTCGTGCCGGGCTTTCTCATAGGGAAAGCGGGTTTCTCTCTGTAGTCTCCGTGTCGCCAATAATCCCATATCTGCCCTCTATCCTCTCAATGAAGATCCCGCTAATTAATATCTCTCCCCTCCCAGCCCTGGCACTCAGGGGAGGGATAGGATAACTCGGACGCACATCACGAAGGCCTCGAAGCGCATCTTCCCTTCCTCCTCCTAGGCTCTCTTCCTGCCGGAAGGGACGGATGGCGGGGCTCTGCTAAATTCTCCCGGTCGTTGGCGTCCCAAATACAAGGCTTCCCCACTGGGTTGGTTGGGGGGGGGCGGGGGGGCAGGCATCTGGTGCGTTGACGCTTGCAGCCAAGGGGGGCAAAACAGACCTGGATTAGAGGGGGCGAAAGAAGGAAAGCCACAGACCAGAGGCAGAGCAGGAGAAGGCGTGTGCTCTTCCTTGTGGCAAAGCAGGCGTCTGGCTATTCCAAAAGGGGTCGGCTCTGCTGTCTCGGGGATTTCAGCCCTCTTTTACCCCAGTGAGAGGAAGGACTGTTACCACTGGTGTCACGGAAAACAGGATGCGGCCCACAGTATAGATCAGTTTAGGCAGAAAGGAAAGAATCGCAGGTTTCTTTCTGTTCTTGTTTCGGGCAAAGTTTCTAGTCCTCATGGATGCCAGTAGCTAATTTCTAAAAAAAAAAGGAACCTGGAATGCGCTCCCCAGAGAGGTTCGCCTGTTGTCAAGTTGTATGCTTTTTGGCACCAGGTCAAGACCTTTTTATTTACCCAGTATTTTAAAGTCTAAATATTTAAATTATGTTTTTATTGATATCCTTCGTCACGTTTCATCATGTTATTGATTATGTACTGAAGTATTTATTAGGTATTTATTGTATTGCAAGCTGTTCAGAGATGACCCATATTGGACGATATCATAATAAATAAATAAACAAACAGGCAGGCAGGCAAACCTCGGGTGCCTGGACAACATTAGATTACGTGCATTTGGTGGTGAGGGAAATGCACTCTGCATGCAGCCAGAGGCACTCTTTGTTCTAACCTCCGAAGTCTCTCAGAGCACAGCTGCCATCCCTGGCTGTGCAGGGCTGAAGGATCCCCCACTGCTTAAAGGCTTCATGGGAGTTGAAGTCACAACACATCCGCTGAGACACAGCTCAGGGTGGGCAAATTGGCATCATAGTTGCAAGTGGCAGCCCCCCGGATGTTTTGGCCTTCAAGGCCCATCACCCTGAGCTAGCAAGGGATCATGGGAACTGAACCACAAAACATCCTCTTTCTCGGATTCGTGCCACACCCTTTCCTTAAAAACAGGCAGGCAGCGGCTACCCCGGATTAGCTGCACAACGACCCTGTGAGGTTGGCTCAGCCCGCAGAGCCCCCCCGGCCCGTCGCCAGGCAGAGGGCCTTGTGCCTGATGGAAGCGGCGATGCGCCGCCCACTGCAATGCGCCGCTCGCTGGGCAGGGATCCAGTGTGGCCTGCCGTGGCCCTTCCCTCCACCGCCTCGGCGGCGACGTTTTCCGGGACCGGCTGAGCGCTGCCCGGTGCCAGCACATGCGGCTACGGGGTTTGTCTCCCCGGCCATTTTGGGGCTCAGCCCCTTCTCATGGCCCGGCACAAAGGCTGGGAGGGGAGGGCAGAGGAGGCAGCGACGGGGTCCAGACAACACGGGAACCCACACTGAAGGGCTGAGGCTGCGTTCACACGGCACAAGCGACCCTGCGTGTGTGCCGTGCTTCATCCGTTGCTTATCCTGAGCTTCCCGATGGACAATCAGGTGGTATGAACATTATGGTGGTTTCTGTCCTCCTCACGCCGTCTGTCCTCCCACTGCGGGCCCGCATCCCATCACCCCCTGTGCCTGAAATTCAATCCCAAGATGCATTGCCATTGCTCACCTGGCTCTTCCTCAGTAGCCGGCACATAGAGGCTGGATGGCTGGAGCGGCTCTTGAAGTTGCCGCTCTTTCCAGAGGATTCTGTGGTCGTTCCATTCCAGGATGGTGGCTACCATGATCCTGGCTTCAGACAGCACAACAAGCCATGGTAGTACAGAGTAACCATAGAATAAGACATTGTTTCTTATCATGGTTTCTAAAGACCAAACATGAAATACCACGACTGAGTCCAGACTGCAAAACAAACCAACAATGGTAGAAAACCACCATGGCTTGTCCTGTTGTGGGAGCCCAGCTGAGATAGCAAAGCATGGCAAGCAACCATTTGCACTTCACAACCCAGTGTCAAAGCCTGGGTTCTCCTCATGGGCTGGCCATGGCGAACAAGCCATGGCTTGTTCGCCTAGCTCAGTTCAGACAACACGAGAACCCACGTTTCCGCAACCTCAGCCCATAGGTCAACAGCATCCTACAATCAACCCACACACAACCCTTGATTCATGTTTTGGAACCTGCCCAGCCGGGGAGAGTTAAGGCCAGCCTGTGACTGCCAACCAAACCCAACTGGCCACCCAGGAATGAGGGCTGCACCCCTTTCTCTGGTCAATAAACTTTTTATAGTTCTCCAAACAACCTGGGGGTAGGAACAGAGTTATTCCCCTCCTTTTTCTCACAGCCAAGGGTCTTGTTCAATCGGTGTCTGAGCAGAAATTCAAACCCAGGCCTTCCTTAATTCCAACAGAGGATATGGGGGGGGTAGGGTGGTCTTACTGGGTCCAGGAGACTTAGCCCAGGAA